CTTGAAGCCAGGTGAACCATTGATCTGACCCAGTATGGCCATTCTTATGCTATGTTCTTATTATTATCTTTATATGGTAGCACCCAGGAGTTCCAGTCACAAGCCAGGTTTCCCAAGTCCTAGACTAGTGCTTTAACCATTGGGACATCCTTCCTCTGCGACAAGTTGCTTCCCAGCCAGCTGCCTGCCCATCCTCTGGCCAAGAGGAGCATGAGCAGCAGTGAGGCCTAGTAGACATGGCACGGGAGTGAGAGCAAGAGGTTCTTGCGTTCTAACTAACCTCAGCTCCCATTCCCTCTATGGCAAGCCTCTGAACCTGTCTGCTCCCCCGCCCAGGGGCCAAGCTGTGGGCGGCTCGGTGGGTAAAAGATGAGAGGAAGTCATTGGTTCCCCGGAAACAGGAGCCCATTGCCTCCATCCCTGGCACTCCCCCAAGTAGAGATCCTGGGAAGGACCCCAACACGTACACCTTCCAAGGACTCTACCTATAGCCTGGGTTGTGGGAAGGGCTGGGTGGGTACGGTAGCGAGCTGAGTGGGGAAGGGTCTCTGGAACAGCTGGCTATCCAGAGGGCAGTCGGAGGCCGTCGGGTTGCGGTGGGATGTGTTTGGTGCTGATGGGGGCCAATGCTTTCTCCCCACTTGGTCTTGCTTCTGGTCCATCTGCTGCTGCTGGCTCCTCCATGTCTCACCAGCTGCCCGTCTGAGGGGAGATCCGAGGGCTGCCTGCCACAGCAGCTTCCGGCATAGTGGAGGCACGGCAGAGGAACCCCAGCAGCCCAGCCGGAGGCATGACATTTCAGCTGGGTGCTGGGGAGGCATCTCATGACTCACGTGAGATCCACCCTGCTAGCCGCCCCTCCTTGCGGAGAGCACTATCTACTTGCGGAGAGCACGGGGGGGCTGTGGGGATCACTGGGGCACCCTTTTGCAGGCAAAGTGGTTGCCCCAGATACTAGCCGGTGCAGAAGAGGGATGGGGCCCTGGACTCCTCTCTTCCAGCCATGACCCCTCTGGGGTGAGAAGTGCCTCAGGGCATGCTAGCCAGCCCTCTCCTGGCCCTGAGGGAGTTCCAGCAGAACCATCTGCAGTTGGGCCGTCAGACGGGTTTGACACCAGGACCTTCAGCATAAGTGAACCTGGGCCCTGCTCAGGCCAACAGTGAGGTTTGAACCCAGGACCTAAGCATGAGTCTCTACCCCTCACACTAAAAGAGTAAGTCCATTCACTGGCAATTGTGGTAGACTCGTATCCCCTGAGGTGGGGCAGCCACCAAAGGGGGAACAAAGAGTCACTCTCCTTTAGCGTGCAATAGTCTGTCTCCTCCATAGTGCACCCTCTCCCCATGCACCCACCCAGCAGCAACTGACCCTTGATGCGTAGGGTTGTTTTCGATGTACAAATATGGGCCCCCTCGATTCACGCATCTCACATGTTAATCACTGGCTTCCAACAATGCCATTGGCCAGATGTTTCCCAGCGTGGCTCTCCCATTCTACAACAGATTGGCAGCCGTTCCCACAGCGTAAAAGATGAAGTTTTACCCCCGACAGCCCAGTATCCGCACTCCTCCTTCACAGGCTCATTCCCTCGCGGTTTGCGAGACGTACAAATCAGACTAAACGAGCACCGTGCAGCTCGGTCCCAAACAATGGAGAGATGTCACCCACCGTTCTTCTACCTTTTCGGCAGAGAGTGAATCGGAACATGATTTTGCTAGAGAAAAGGGGCAATGAAGTGCCAGGCCTCAGCAGCACAGACACAACTGGTGCGACCACTGCTGGACTACTGTGTCCAGGTCTGGTGCCCACAGTTCAAGAGGAGCATTGATAAATTGGAGAAGGTTCATAGAAGACCCACAAGAACGATTAAAGGATTAGACCTGCCTTATAGTGATAGACTCAAAGAACTTGGTCTATTTAGCTTAACAAAGAAGGCTAAGGGGTGACTTGATTACAGTCTATAAATACCGAGATAAGGAACAAATATTTAATAATGGGCTTGTCAATCTAGCAGAGAAAGGTCTAACACAATCCAATGGCTGGAAGCTGAAGCTAGACAAATTCGGACTGGAAATAAGGCAGAATATTTTAACGATGAGAGTAATTAACCATTGGAACAATTTATCAAGGGTTGTGCTGGATTCTCCATCGCTGACCATTTTTAAATCAAGGGGGGATGATTTTCCGAAACATCTGCTGTAGGAATGATTTTGGGGGAGTTCTCTGGCCTGCGTTACACAGGAGGTCTGACCGGATGATCACAGTGGTCCCTTCTGGCCTTGGAATCTATGAAACTTCAGGCAGAACAAACTAGGTCAGGGGTTCGCCACCGTTTTCTTAGGCCCTCCCAACATGCTATAAAAACGCCACGGCCCAGCTGTGCCACAAGAACTGGTTTTCTGCATATAAAAGCCAGGGCCGGCGTTAAAGGGTAGCAATCAGGGCAATGCCCGGAGACCCACGCCACAGGGGGCCCCGTAAAGCTAAGTTGCTCAGGCTTCAGCTTCAGCCCGGGTGGTGGGGTTCAGGGCCCCGGGCTTCAACCCTATGCGGTGGGGCTTCAGCTTTCTGCCGCCCCAGCAAATCTATTGTTGGCCCTGCTTGGCAGCCCCCCCTAAAACCTGCTTGTGGCCCCCCCAAGGGCCCCTGGACTGCTGGTTGAGAACCACTGTACTAGATCCAAAACTTAACAACAATAATTCTGGGAAAGGCAGGGCTGGTGTCAGCTTTGCACTGAAACACCGAGCACTGTCCTGACATAGAAATCGGGGAGGGGGGAGCAGCACCCTGAAGCCTCCATTCTGCAGGAGATCAAGGTCCCCTTGTGTTAGGTGCTGTACAACCCAGTACAACAAACAGTCCCCCTGTCCCACAGAGCTCAGAATCTAAAATGAGGACAAGACACAAGAGGTAGATTGAGGAGGAGGGGATATGGAACAGCAAAGACGGGCAAGTCTCCATAAACTAGTAGCTACAGCTGGGCATCAATCTACTCTATCCCCGTCTTGGGCAGGGTTGTTCCCTGCAGGAAGTGTACTAGTGCATTGCTCAGATTCGTTTTTAAGGTTCTCCCACCACTTCCCGCGGGAGACTATTCCACAGCCTCACTGCTCGGAGGATTTTCCTGACACCCCTTTAATCCTTTGTGCCACACTACAGCTCTCTCCCTCCTTGGAGTTTACACCCTTCTGGTATTTCCATAGCATCAGCACATCAGCGTATTACAGTGGTTTTGCTCCTAGAACAAATAGCAGCCTACTATGCTAATTGTACTGTATTCTCCCAGGTGAAGTATTTCCAATGGCTAGGTGGGAAAGGGTGGACTTCCCCATTTTCTAATTCGGTCACAATGATCTGGCTCATGTATCACCACTGCCCTCTGCTGGATGGAATCAAAACTGCTCAACTGTGGCTCATAAGCTCAATACTGCTAACAGCAACTGGAGATTCTCTTTCAGTGGAAGGGGTAGCAGCCTGTGCTGTTGAGGCAGGAGAAACTGGGTTCTTTTCCCCCACTGCTGCTGGGCAACTCCAAGTGACCGAAGCCTAAAGCATAGGAACAAACAACGTTTCAGATGAGCATGGATTTGTTACTTTACTGAACCAGATGCCCCAGGTAACACTCAACCACCATTTTGCTCCAGCCCTATTCCCAGACTCATAATTATGGGCGAGCTTTAATTCAGCTCATGGTCCAACTTTCCCTTCTGGTGGCCAGAGCCGGAGGGGAGGTGGCTTGCAATCCAGCCCTTCATTATGCCAGTAGTTGGAGGTCAGGCTGTGGCTGGGAGCCCTGAACGTCACAAGTCCTAGGAGGCTCCTGTCACTTGCACCTTGGCAGATCTAGAGTAACTCCCCTGAGGCCAGTGCAGTTACTCCGGACGGACACCCGAGTGGCAGCGCAGAATTCAGCCCAAGGAGTGCAATGACCGTGTGTATTGCAGGGGCTGCGTGGCCCAGCCAGAATGAAGCCATGTGGCATCACGTCAGCCCCTAATACTATTTCCTCTCACACGCCTAGAGCCGGGTGGAATATTTAGTTCGCTACGAGACTATCAGAATAACAGTGGCCTTATGGGCTGCTCTGTGGCTATTGTGACTTTGATCCAGGATTTGGTTTCAACACCTGTTATTTTACCAGCACCTTGGGCGTGTTTGGAAACGGAACGAACGCCTAGTAAACCCAGCTCCTAGTTCTAGCGAGGGGAGGTCGTCCTGGGCTCACACTCAACGCTCTGCATCCTCCCCACCTCCCACCGCTGCCCCAGGGATCCCAGAAAGCACGTGCACCGTGGGGCCACAATTCTCCACAGGGGTGAAACTGAGGATCCACACTCTCGACACGCAGCAGGGGCAGCGTCTGGGATCAATTGGAGGGGAGGGGGTTGTACAGCATATCGAACATTCTCTGTCGGCCAGAAATTCAATCATCTCGGACGCGATTAGATTTTAGCCTGCAAAGCCGGGGGGAGGCAAAAAGTGGAAGACATAATGGAGCATATAGGCCTGTGAAAAGTCAGGGAGGGGACGGGGCGACCCCCTGGCCGCACAAGCAAACCATGCCCCTGCCCTGCAGCACAGATCATTTCTATTAGACGATACTCCAGAGACACTGCCATTCGACATCAGTGCTAACGCGTTCCACGTCGCAGCCTCCGGCATCCTAATGTGACACAGGCTCTAAAGAACTCATCTCTGCTTCCACAGGCTTTCTCCCCAGCACTCCCATCAGCATGATGCGTGCCACAAACCGACAACTTGGGAAGAAAGTTAATGTGCCAGACCCCACAGGCTGCAGATTCCCCCGCAACCCCCCCATCCCTTTCCACTTATCTCGTCCAATCCTTCGCTACATTTCTGAGAGAGTTTTTCACGACAGGGTTCATTGCACTGTAACAGGAGGCTTTGAAGAACAACCTAACGGACGGCATGGAGAGATTTATATGGCATGCAGAGAGAGCGCTAGACATAGGCAGTCACTGGCACTAGCAAAACTTACCCGGGTGAAACGTTCACATCTCGGATTTCCCTCCAGGTAAAGGAATGATACAATCATCAGAAGCCTTCAAATTCCTCTGTCCCACGAGGAATTTGCAAGGGTTCGGCTGCGTAATCCCCAAGCTCCTGTAGTTCCACACCGGAGACGTGCCGGTCACATTGGCTGGAGTGCAACTCTCAGCACAGTTGGAAGAAGTTATGAAGCAGGAGGAGGGGCCCGCTCTTTATTCCGGGAAGACGGCTGACAGGGGATGGGCTGTGCTTGGCGGAGGGGCCGTTTCCCCCCTCACGCTTTCGACGGGAATGGGGGGGGGAGGTGGGGGGGAAGAGAGCTACCTCATGGGCAAAAATAAATAAATAAATAAAATAGCTGCACGCAGCAGGAATGTCAGAGCAAAGGGCTCCCTGCGCAACAGAGCGCCAGGCCTGAGCACCTGCAGGGAAGGGAGGGAAATGGGGCAGCGGGGACAGGTTAGGTTACAAGGGGGCAGAGGTAAGAAAGGCAAAGGGAATGCAGCAGCAGGCCTGCCAGCAGCACTTCGCACCTGATCCACAAGGTCTTGGGGCGGGGGGATCATAGCCCCTTCTCCCTGCGAGAGGCCTACAGCCAGTGGAGGCAATTTCTAGCAATTGGGGATGATTAGTATTAGCTGCAGCTCAAGGGAAGGGGCAGATTCCATCTCGCGCAGTCAGAGCCTGACACGGCTTCCGTACTGCACGAGTTGGGGACGGGGGTTGGATACACCCTGAGAAGCACCTGGTCAGGCACTGAAATCAAACAGAATAGCCCTTTGCACTGCGGGTCTCAATCCATGGGGCTGAAGGGCTTTGTAACCCTGGACAAAATAAGTCTCAACACCCCCTTTGAGGTCAGTTAACACTGTCCCCATTTCACAGAGCGGAAAACTGAGGCTTCACCCAAACCTAGGAAGGTAACCGAGGAGCCCTAACTTTACCCATTCAGACAATGCTAATCCCACTCCAGCCGTGTGCACAGATCTAATGATTGGTATTACAGCAGCACGCATACATATAGCGAAACTTGGTCCCATTGTGAGAGGTGCTGACCATACATAGTAAGAGACAGTCCTTAGTGGATGTCGTTTGGGGTTTAATTACCTTTATTAATATCATAGAATTATTTCAGGCTCATTAATAAAAGATTATACACACTACCAAACACTAGGCAAAATATGTTAAACATATAACCAGTCCCTGCCTCAAAGAGTTTAAAATCTAAGGCCCTGATGCTGCAAACATTTATGCACATGCTTCACTTTAAGCCCCAGTGCTCTGAGAGTGCCCCTTTTCCACTGGGCTGATGTATGCTGCTTCAGTCTTATATATTCCACACACACCCCTTCTGTCCCCAATACCCAGGAAGCTCAGATGGCAGGTACATTGTGCAAGCAGAATCATGGCATTGCCTACACCCCAACCCTCCCTGCTCCCTCTGTGCCCACTTGTTTTTGGAGGGGAATATTGAGTGGGCAGCCTCTGCTGTGCTAGGTAGTGCGACTGGTTCTTGGGGTACCCAGGATTGTGAGTCACCATGTTATCCCCTGCCTGTAGCAGGAGGGAGTCTTGCTTGTGCTTGGCTGGGTGTCAGTTCCCTAACACCACCAGCCTGTGAGACATCCAAGCAACCTCCTCTGGGCTAGGCCAGCCCTTACTTTGCCTTGCAGTTTAATAATAGGTGCCGCCCAGTTGCTGAGTCCCTTTGAAGTGTTCCACTTTGATATCCAGTTCCTGACGCTGGCTACTCACAGAATTACCGGGTCTGCTGTTCCCAAAGAAACCGAGTAAGATTCAACTCAGGACCAGCACTTTCCTGAACATCACAGCACTGAGGTAGTAAAGATACACAAAAGGTTACACATAAAACAAAATCATAATACGCTTTCTAGAGACTAAACTTAACTAACAGGTTAACCTGCTGTCCAGAGAAGTTCATCTCACCCAAAGTCTGCTGCAGCATTTTCAAATAAGGTTGATTGAGACCCCGGTTTTATGAATGCAAGTATGCAGTTTACTTCCTCGGTGCAGGATATCGAGGGGTTTTTTTTTGGCCTTCTGGAAATACTCCCAAAATTCATTGTCTTTATGCAGAGATGGGATAACCCCCTGTGTTTTCCTGTGTGCTCCTTTCCTGATGCCTTCCCATCTCTTCATTAACATTTGTCTTTGTATGTAAATGGACATCCATAGTCCTAGCTTACAATGCTCAATATACATCCTTATAGAGAGATGCAGTTTCTTACCTCCTGCTTGGAGGAAAACCTGTTTTTCACCTTTGCTGGTGACAAATACCTTGACACAGACTTTCAAAACATATTTTCAGTGTATATGCAGAACTCCTTACATAGCATCTGTAGCTTTCCTTTGAGACCTCACATGACATTCGTTGGTAAACTAGAATCTACACACCAGACTCATGAGACGTCTGTAAGCCCTCTGCACCGCCTTGCCAGCTGGCATTAGAGATTCTTGGGTCACAGGTAGGCCCTAAGCAGCTGTGCGGTGGAAGGTGGAGTGTCTTACTCCTGTCATTGTCTATAGACTCACAGTCAGTCTTCGTATGCATTTATTAAAGAAAGCAACTACAACTACATATGCAGGAACAGAGTTGCACACAGCTCAAGTTCCAGCTTTGTCTCCTCTTATTTACCAGGGACCATACCCAGCCTGAAATTCTGTAAAGCACACAGCAACATCTAGCACCTGAATGGCAAGCACACATATGATAGCCTCTTGCATAGTCAAAGAGAACGAGGCCTCTTAATTTTCACAGTTCAGTTGCTGGCCAGAGCAATTGGCAGCAGTAAGCATGATAGTGGAAGGGGATGGATGGTCCACATATCTCCTTCATTCCATTGGCCATCCCATCGGACAGGCAGTAAGTACCTAGGGCATTCCATTAAGGAATAAGATACATTTGCTGCTGAACTAACTAATTTTGAAGCTAGAAATACAAAGACTTAGCTGACCACGGGGACTGCCCTGGCTTGAGCTGGGCCTGGCCTGGCATGAGGCTGGCTCCAGGAATGGGGTTCAAAAGTTACCTTTGCCCCACTCATTGTTTTCTGACCTGCACCATCTGCTGTACAACCACAGCTCAGAATCTGGCCCCGTTCATTGATGGGTGTGAACACCCAAACTCCAGTCCTACCTACTTCTCAGCTCTGATCTGTCCTTAGATGCGGCCCACCCCCAGTTCATTCCTTTGTCCAAACTTTCCTTCTATCTACTCTTCCTGTTCCTATATTTGGACCGCCTGTCACACACCCCCAGATGCTTAGACCAGCCTCCTGAGTAACAGGCACCCCATGCCTATATATCTCCCTTCAATAACCTTTCAAACACCCAGCCAGGGCGGGCTCTAGGCACCAGCCCTCCAAGCATGTGCTTGGGGTGGCACTGTCCAAGGGCGGCACTCCGGCTCCTTTTTTTTTTTCCCTTCGGGTGCTGGGAGCCGGCCCTGAGTGGAGGTGAGCTGCGGCGGTGGGGGATGCAGGGAGGGCCGCAGGAAGTAACCCTGGGGGGGCAGAGGAACTGCTTCCCCCCGCCCCGCTCACCTCTGCCTCCTCCCCCGAGCGCGCCGCCACTCTGCTTCTCCCCCCTCCCTCCCAGCCTGGGAGGGAGGGGTAGTAGGGGAAATGCAGCGTGCCCAGGGGAGGAGGCGGGGCTGGGGATTTGGGGAAGGGATTGGAATGGGGCGGGGAAGGGGCAGAGTTGGGGCGAGGCCGGGGGGCGCGGGAAAATTTTTTTGCTTGGGGGCGGCAAAAAACTTGGCGCTGGCCCTGCACCCAGCTATTCCATGTTTCCTTCCAGCTGCAGTCCCTGTACACCCACCACTTTGCCTGCCCAGGACTCTGTACCCTGCAGGATTGTAGCTACTCATGCCTTAAGGACCAGTTCTGCAAGCACTTGGGCTTAAAGTGAAGCATGTGCATAAATGTTTGCAGCATCAGGGCCTTAGATTTTAAACTCTTTGAGGAAGGGACTGGTTATATGTTTAACATATTTTGCCTAGTGTTTGATAGTGTGTATAATCTTTTATTAATGAGCCTGAAATAATTCTATGATATTAATAAAGGTAATTAAACCCCAAACGACATCCACTAAGGACTGTCTCTTACTATATGTATGACTGAGACACCATTCCTTCCCATTGCTCCTGGAAAGAGAACAGCTGTGCATCACGCCATACTGAAGGGCTAAAGAGAAAGGCCTTGGGGAGAGGTTTTCCCTATCTCATTAAAAGCACCCCCAGAATTAGATGTTTGGGGTATATTTTGATCAAAAAGGCCAGGCTCTTTCAGATTATGCTGGAGTTTTAGGCCATTATTAAGATTTCCTGTAGATCAAAAGCTTTAATGTAAAAGCAGACACCAAGATTTGGTTTTAACAATTGAAGCTAAATTGAATGATATAAGGATCCAGGATCCCTGAATGCATCGTTATCAGACTGAATAGACCTAATTGCAATTGTATCTGCATTCTACAATTATATCTATTCGTATCTACAGAACCGGGTAATCACGATGAACTGATGCTGTTCAGTCTAAATACATTTTATGCACGAACTGGGTGCGAGTGGCAGGTTTCACATGTGGGTCCGAACTACCGCACAGTCAGGGGATGGGGGGTGGGGGTGTTTGGATCTAAGGGTTTGGTTCAGGTCCATCTAGGCTTGGGATGTCCACATCTGAGTTCTTGTCTTTCAATAGCCAGACAAGACAGCCCTGACACAACCACACAAGATCTAGTGCCTTTCATGAAATGGCCTCTAGTATTATTAATGTGTATTGCAGTAGCAGGTAGTGGTGCCAACCAAGGGTCAGGGTCCCAGTGTGCTAAGCGCCAGACCCACAGGCAGTTCAAGGACACTCAGTCCCAAAGAGCTCACCCTGTAGATTATGGCAATACACAACAGGTGTATGAGAAACAAGCAGTGGGAAGATTACGTTTCCCTTAAGGTTTATAGATCAGTCTCATTTTGTTTTGGTGCTGGTGAAAGAAGCCAGATCGACGGCCTTGCAGCTGAAGTCCTCTGCCCATGGAATGGGCACCGCATGGTTAACAACTAACATGCCCCACCCGTAATGTGGGGGGAGATGGAAGTTCAATGTGCATAGCCCATTTGCTCCTTGGCCTCTAGGGGTATATCTACAGAGGGATACAAAACCTGCCGCTGGTCTGGGTCA